TATACAATTTGTCTTATATAAATAATACACATAGAATATGGACACGCATAATTAATTTTTGAAACATGCGCAATGCGCATGTATTTGCCTAGTATATATAGGTTAGAGACATGTGTATTACACGGATTGACAACTTAGAAAATCAAACTACATTGCTAAAATATGAAAAAAATACAATACTAAAATATGACGAAATATAAAAAAAGTATATGAATGAATATGAAAGAATATGAAAGTAATATGATGAATATATATGAAATATGGATTTTATAATCTTCATTTGTTTCTATTCAAAAGTTATACTTTTAATGTAGAACAATAGTGTACTTTAATAAATGTATAAACAAAAACCACATATACACGGAGAAATAGCAAGACTTTAAAAGTATAGTGTTAAAATAGTAAAATGTAACATCCAGAATTTCAGGTATAGTTCTTTAACCTTGCGACTTTGTAGTTTTGGGATTTTTTTCCATGACCATGACATGGTGGCATCCTAGCCACGACGTGGTGGTGGCTGGAGCTCAAAACCCTAGATTTCGGGCCATGGCCCTCTTTAAAAGAAGTGATGACTAGAGTTTTATCCATCCTCAACCCAGGGGCGGAACCAGGAATATTCATAAGGGGTAGCCCATATTTTTTCTTTCGCCCCTACAAGGAACTGAACTTCAGAAAGAACATCTGATAAATTAAAAAGACTTTCTTTGATAAAATGTCACTACAGCATTTATGCAAACACCTTGTGCGCATATCAATGCTTTTACTAGTATTAATTATGTAATTTTGTATGAAAGGGGAAAAGAAAGAAGAGCACCATATACCAACATTACATATAGATTGTATGACTGATGCGACCTTATTTATGAGTTTTCACTGTCTCATATGTGTACCTTATTTATGAGTTTTCACTGTCTCATTTGTGTACCTTATTTATGAGTTTTCACTGTCTCATTTGTGAACCTATTAGCATCGTGAGTTTCGGATCATACCGGTAAGTGGCTATCAACCAACCTCCCCTACGTCTGGTGAGAATAGCCACCATAACCTACTAAAACCACCACTGATTCGCTGCACTATACTCACACCTGCAAATCGAAAAAAAAAGATAAATCTTCGTTCTCTATGTGAATCCCATCAAACCCACGCACCCTTCTCCATCTCGCTCATCAAACCTGCAAGTCGATTAAAGGGAAATAGGTTGAACCTCGTGTTCTTTTGTGCGATTGAAGGGAAAACGAGAGAGACAGCCGATGAAATTTGAATCAGAACAGAAAGAAGACAGATGAGAAATTAATCGATTGCAAGAGAAGGAAGGGGGGCTTGAAGAATAAAACAGCAAAAGTGTGCATATCTCGAATGATTTTGAGGGGTATCCCGGGCTACCCCGGGATCCAATGTGGATCCGCCAGTGCCTCAACCTCCATCACTTCCAAGTTCCTTGAACCATACCCTAATCCCTTATCTTCCATTTCTAAGTTCTTTGTTAGTATTCGTGGTTATTTGAAGGAAGGAAGAAGAGTAGTGGTGTAAATAGATCAGAAAGTTAACATCATTCTATACTCCTTGTGTATATTTCTAGAATTTTGTAAGTCTACAAGCTCTTACCTTTTGTTCATTCTTCTTAGATCTAAGCTTTGTAGCATGTTTCTTCCTATTTGTGTTGGTTTGAATGGTTGGATCCAATAAAGTTGACAACTTTATTGATCCATGAGGTCCCAAGGAGGTTCTATGCTCCAGATCTGAAGTTTTATGTACTTTTTGTTTCAAACATGGGGTTTTGACCCAATTTCTCTTTTTTAGACATAATTTGAGTACATGACATGCATGAGAAGTGCATGTCCATAAAGCAAGGATTTTTATGATGTTCATGAGTGTAAGGAAGCTTTCTAGAAAGTTTAAGTATGGGTCTTAAGAGATTAAGGGCTTAATCCATTAAGTTTTTAGTTTAAATTCCACGACGTGGTGGCGGGACTCATCACGACTGTTTTGTCGTGTGACAGCCACGACATGGCCAACAGTTGGCATGATGTGGTGACCTCCTGATTTGAATTTGACCATTGGCCATTGACTTTTAACCTTGTTGACTTTTAGTCAAAATGCTAGTTTGGTTGGTAGACTAAGGCTTAAACTTCTGTGATTCATTAGGTGGTGTGTATTACCAGCTTCCCATGTTTGTGAGTTGTGATTTAGTCTACTCTGATTATCAAGGTTAGTCTTCTCATTATATTATGTAGATGCTAGACTGTCTTTGCGACTCATATATGTATGTTGGGCGGTGCTCGTTATGTATGTTGGGAAGGGCCCGTCATGTATGTTGGTTGCGACCCATATTGGTATGTGGTATCTGGGGAGCTTTGTGCTTACAATTTGATGTTTAAAATATTTCAGGTACTTCTAGTAGCAAAGGGAATGACCCGACATGATTGCATTACATCCTGTAGAGATTTCATACTTTTGTTTGTGATACTCTGATGTTGTTTTTGAAACTATCTAGGGAAAATGACATAAATGCCCTACAAAGTTTCTAGGGTTGGTCGATTCAATCCCTAAAGTTTTTGTCGGGCTTATAGGGTCCCTAAACTAGAATACAACCTGCTCTTTTAGTCCCTGTCAACCTGTAATAGTCGGTTGACCATTTAGACCAGAAAAACTTATATTGTACCCTATAAAACCAAAAAATAAGTTCGGGGACTGAATCGACCAAACGTCGAAACACAAGACATTTGAGCGTCTTAGTGGTCCTTAATGCTTAGTTGATGAAAAAGCTTTACTCCGTTAACTCCGATAACCCTGATTGCACATGAAGAACAGATAGGAACTTACAAAGGGGAAGTTGGCAGAGAAGGGGAAGTTGTACAGCAATGGGCGTCTAGGACGAAGGTTATCTGTATATTTAAGTTGTTTATTCATTTATTATTATTATTATTATTTTAAGACAATGAACCTCATCCAAAAGCAAAACTTAAAAAAGAAATAAAAAAAATTGGAAAAGCCACGTCTCAAATGATAGTATTAGATAAGAAAGTTAACATGTCCATTCTTTATCGATTCTCAAACATTTGGATTTCTTTATTAGATTAATACTAGATTAATAGATATTCAGATTCTAGTCGGTTATGGAGATTACCATGCATGCCTAGAGGCCATAAATGAGAATAAGAGGGGACTTTGGAATGCCGATCCCAATTCCCAAAACATTTTTGTCATGTTTGTTTGTGTTTACTTTAGATATGATAATTCTATAAACATATATTAAGAAGATGTTTGATTAGTATATAAAAGCACAAACAAAGTGTAAATGTAACCTACTTTCATTTGAATTCTTTATAAACGTATTATTTTTCCGTCAAAGTCGCAAGAAGTTCAAGAACAATAAGGTAACTTCAAATCTTTAACGGTTTCTCCAACATTTTATGGCTCAAACCCCTACTCATGTCTTGTGTCCCTAACTAAAAGAAAAAATGCATTGGTTTCAATATGGTATTTGTTGATGCAATTGGCAAGATAATCCCGAACTTATTTTTTTGATTTTACAAGGGTACAATGTAAGTTTTTTAGGTCTAAATGGTCACTGTCACATGGTGAACCGACTATTACAGGTTGACAGGGACTAAAAGAGCAGGTCGTATCCTAATTTAGGGATCCATAAAGCCCGGCAAAAACTTTAGGGACTGAATCGACCAACCCTAACTATATTAACAGTTTTAGAAAATAATATTCAAATATTTAATAATTTTGGGACGTTATATAAAAGTTTGGAAGTAGAATATTGAAATAACTGTTTTTTTTTTTTTTTTTTTTGTTCGTAAGTAGAATGGTTTATTACAAATATTTAATTAGGAAAAGATTCGATAGTTAACAATGAGGACTAAGGAACAAATATTTTTCATATAATATATAATGGATATTACAAATACATAACTATATTAACAGTTTTAGAAAATAATATTCAAAATGAAAAAAAAAACATAAATTTACAAATATTTTTTTGTATACAACATTTGATGTTCTATTCATAAGTTTGTCTTCTCTATCTAAAATTAAAAGTTTTAAGTCCTCTACTTTTAACTCTAGATGTTTCAACATAGAATTGTCCATGTGTGGAAACTAGTTGTTTAAAAAGCAAACCAATTTTCGATAGAGATTGCCATTACATTTTATTTATTGTCATCGCAAAATATATATAAGGTGCAAACTATCTTCTTTAAATACATAAATACATACTTATACAAAAGAAATATGATAATTTTTTGATTTATTAAGTATAACAGATAATAGATTTTGAGCTCCTTAGTTATATGGATCGACATTAATTAAATTGATATACCCCCAAACTTTCCTAATATGAAGGGATTGTCTGATTTCTCCACCTTATTATCATTTAAAGCATTTAATCAATTTGAATTTAAATAACCATTATAAAAGAATAAGTGGAATTTGAATAACCTTTATATTTATATAGTCAAATTTATTAAATAAATAATTTATTTAAATTGCATATATTTTTTTGAATTTTATATATAACTTATGAAAATTAAAAACTCATAAAAATTAAAACCTAAAATTATAAGTATTTCATAGTCATAGTTCAGTTTCTTAAGTATCCAAAAGTAAAGAATTTTCATGATAAAAAAACATATAATTATAATTCTGGTCACATTTTAATTTCTAGTGCATATCTAAAAATAAAAATAATCATATGATAAAAGAAAAAAACATATAATTATAATTATGGTCACATTTTATTTGAACACATGTTCATTTCATTTCCAAGTTAATTCCAATATCGTTTGCATCGAGTTTCCATTTTTTTTTAATTAAAGTCACAAATATATGGTTAAAGACTTTGGATAAAATAGTTCTTGACCAGGAAGTCGTTTGTTGGATTATTGTCTCTAATGTAGTACTATTATTTTATGTAATCAAACTCGTTCATGTGTCACCGAACCTTCCTATTAACCGTCTATAGACTTTCTTTTGATTCAATAATAAAACATTACCTGAATAGCTAACGCTGCACGTGATTTCTTTGGCATTAGTCTACCCTCAATGATCTCATTAGGATTGTAAAAATTGAGTTCCTTGAGCTGCAAGTCTGCAGTAGCTGTGATAAAGTCAACGCCTTGATAGTTGCAGTGAATTTGATTCTCTCCGACGGCTTGATTCCATATGATATCGCCGGCGAGGGCGTAGTAGACTGCGAGAGATCGAGATAAGGAAGCTTTGAGGGTGCTTAATACGGTGGAGAAACTTTCATTAGATGTTTTCTTGAAGCAGAAGAAAAAACCAATGTCAAACGGTGGGACAAGCAAGTCTAGATTCGTAAATGGTAACCAATGATCATTCCATGGTTCTTCTACACCCACAACTACATTATCAATCACCTCAACTGTGAAACACATACCACTACTACTCATGAATGGTGAGTAAAAATGTAAGATGGAATGATGGAAAGAGAAAGAGATGTTGGACCAATGCATTAACAAGACAACAATATATATATATATATATATATATATATATATATATATATATATATATATATATATATATATAGAGAGAGAGAGAGAGAGAGTCTTAAAACTACTCAAAACTTTAAATAAACTCAATCCATCACTTCATTCTTATTAAACCCTCTAATGATTAGTTTTCTATTATTTTTTTTCTTTATTTTAATAAAACAATATACATTATTATAAAATTATTTTAATATTTTAAAATCAATTATCGATATTATACAAAATCATATTATTATTTACTGTTGTTGTTTTTATGTATTTATCTTTATTTTTCTTATTTAAAAATACTTGAATTTTTTGAGGTTTTGATTATATTTATTATTTTATTATTATTATTATTATGTATGTCTACATTATATAACATTGTTTTTGTTTTTTTTTTATTATACACATTCTAATAAAAACTAAGATAACTGTCAATGATCAAATATAATTATTTAATATTATTTTTATTGATGTTTTGTTCGTTTATATGTTTGTTTATATGTTTGTGTTTGTTCGTTTATTTGGTTTTAAAGGGTTTTGTAGTTATTTGTTAAACAAATGATCTTAAATATTAGAATTAAATAGTGGACATTCAAAGAAAAAGATGTAATTCTAAACTTTCATGTTTATTTTTTTCTCTAAACCTTATAGGAAATGCAACAAGACGAAGATTCATTTATTATCTAATTAATTTATTCATCTTGAAAATGACACAACTCAACCAAACCCTCTATTGATCAATGAATTTTTTAATGCATGAAGTCTATTTACGTACATAACTTGTTTTCCCCCTAACAAGTCCACAATCACCATCATCATTATCACCTTTCCTTTTTCCTAATCTCTACTCTTCTTCAAACACAATCAATTCAGAACCACATTGCATTCAATGTTGTCTCATGCTATCAAAAATCGTGGTGACGATTTTACTATCAACTAATCATTTGAATGTATCTGAAATTTATACATGTACTAACGGGTTCAAAGTGTGATTTGAATGTATCTCGAATACGATTAGGCCTGCCCCAAGTGTGACCCGAGCCCACCACCCCAAAGGGCCCAAAACTAAGTTTAGGTAGCATAGCTGTTAGCACACATGCAGGGGCTGACCTAGGGGTGGTCCACGGTGGCACCGACAACCCCTAACTTTTCCGGCAACAGTGGAAAAATTTTTGAAAATTTTTGAAATTTTTATTTTTTATACTACCGTGCAACCCCTACTGTAAAATCCTACGTCAGCCCCTGCACACATGGAATAATAGGAATTTGGTTGGCTCAAAATAAACAAATATGACTTCTTGGAAAACTTCTATTGATCTAAATCGAGATTGGAACGTGAGTAGATATGTGAAGTCGTTGCATTGGAATTTGGAAGTCGAAAATCAAAGAAAGGTGGGTGCAACGTTATAAAAGAGAAATGCTCATAAACTGTAGATTACTAAACTGAATATCCTCAACATTACAATGGTGGAAGCCTATACAGATAGAAATCTGTGACCAATGACTTCCATCCTAGCTGGGAAGAGGTATCGGGTTTAATACCCACGTGGGGTCAGAGGTCGGGAGTTCAATTCCTGCAAAACCCAATTTGGGTGCCTCTTAAACTTGTGCCACATGTGAGGAAATTTTCCCTGGAAACCCCTATGGGGGCTGGGTTTGCCCTGTAAAGGAGCTCGAACCCGGGATGCTCGTTGAAATATGCGAATAGGCTTCCGTTTAATCATTTGCTGTTTCCAAAAAAAAAGATAGAAATCTGTGTTTATTATTAAAGGGTTGAATCACCTCCACAAATCTTACTTCTCAATTTCAAGTTTCAAGTTTCAATCATGTCATATCAACTTGTTTTTTGTTTTTGTTTTTTTGTTTTATTTTTGTTTTTTGTTTTACATATATGTTTTAAATTCATAGATTAAGTGTGTGTTTAACGGTTTAAATGTTGAATTTGAAACAACACCCAGACCCATTGAAATTGAACCGTTTGTGATATTGTGGACTTTACCGCAACTGGAAGTGTGCAACAACGACACACACTCATCCATTTATTTGTCAAATAATTTGATATCTATCATTTTTTACATGTTTGATTTTTGCCAAATTAGTATTTGTCATCAATATAGGCTTTAGTTGGTTTGACCGGTCAAAAGCCTTGAATTTGAATCTTGTCAAATTTAAATTAAATTTTGTAGAATATAATTGTCTTAATGGATAAACAGAGATTACATAATGTTAAAAAGGGAACAACACCACTAGTATAATCCCCATAGTTACCCTTATGTTTGACCGAATTAAAAGGGGAACTACACCACATAGTATAATTACAATCCTCATAGTTACCTATACTTTGACCCAATTATAAGCCAAAGAAATAACATGGTCCACCAGTTTAGCTGTAAAAATACAGATCATATTGAAGAGTATATCATCCTTTGATTTCCAAATACTTCATAATAAGGATATAATTAAGAGTAGTTATTTTATATGGCCAATCTATTCTTAATAAAAGACTCCTAAAAACTGCCACGTGTCGCCATTATACACTAATACCTTGCCACGTGTTAATATTCCAGCGTTTTACTCACTGATTTTCCCGCCCAACAGCTAATTGTTGTATTCGACCTTCATACCCTATAAATCCGGAAAATCAGGCCATAAAATCAGACGATGATATTCACCCACGTTTCTTCCTCTCCATAAATCAAAATCAAATTTTAAATCCTTCCCAAAATTATGGCCTTAATTTGCGCACGATGATTCCTCTATAGTTGTAAAATGATGAGATAAATGGATTGATTTTTTTTTCTAAGCATACGTTGATTGAAACCTAATGGCTTTATTTTCTCGATCAATTGGTTAAGTAGGTTTAAATCCACAGAGGTTTGAAGAATCTTGATCCCTTCTCGACTTTTCATGTTGTTGTTTTGCTCTTGATTCATGCCTCTTTTCATTGATGTTATCAGTTACGATTTGTTTACAGTAAACACATAGGGCTGCTTTGATTTGATGAAAATGGACATAAATCGGACCAAGTTTACTCACCGTTTCTTTTCCTTACCAGCGTCGCACCCCACACGACTCACTACCGTCACATTATTGCTCAATGAAGACTTAATCCACCGTCTTTCTTCCCTCACTACCTCAGTCGTAACATCCTTTGTTCTTAGTCTTACAATGTTACATGTTTTGGTGTTTTTTACACTTTTATTTGATTTCTACAGGATAAAGGACAAAAGGCTTAAGGTAAAAGCCCTAGAAAATTTTCTCTCGCTTTACCCAATCAAGAAATTCATCGCACCCCAAGAATCAGTAAGAACTCAACCATGGCATCAGGAAGCAAGCTGAAAATAAAATAAAAACCAGGTTAGCACTTAACCACTTAACCACTTAGCCCTTTTGGTTTTCTTTTAGACAATACATCACCATCGAGCAAGAAATCAGGTTACATATCAATAGCTACAGCAAGAAATCAGGAAATCTTCTCTAAATTTGAATTGGATCAACAAATGGTTCATATCTTAATTGAAGCTCCTGTTTCACGCTTCTAATTTCCATCGCTTCTGTCCATGGTGTGAAACCTTTGTCCTGCTGACACCATCACTGACATCTCTTCACCGGCAAATGCCTTCGATATCAGTGGTTGTGGCCGTTTTTCTGCCACCCAATCTATCAGCTCCAGGAAATGCTCTTTGTTAGTTGCAGTCTGCAAGAACTCATGAACCTCCAAAGCAACATCAGCCAAAGACATCCCCCTTAACTCCTAACTTGTCAAAAAAACCGAGTCAAAATTAAAATATATAATAATATTCATAACTTAGTTGTAAAAGAATCATTGTAGTTGAAAAAATTCAAAACGAACATGATTTGCAAATTATAGATTTTTACGATTGAGAAATCAAGAACAAAAAGAATCCCTAGTGGTGACACATGTTTAAATTTATTACCTGTGCTTTTTTCGACCCATACGGCATTGATAAAACATTACCAAAGTAAGAAGCCATCAGTTTTTCTTTCTCTTCTCCACCCCCTCACTCAGCCTTCTCCTTCCATCGACTGGAACAGCCATGTTACACACTGCGTTGTGCTTCCCGGAGTCTTCCACGCTCAATGCAAATTTCTTCTACAAGAAGGAGGTAAATGCCTTTACCTTTGACCTCATGCATCCATTTTCACTTGCCAACAGTTGTAGCCTTTTAATTTGCTCACCTTCAACGTAGTATATGCGATTAACGAGTAAATGGTCTCCATCATCATCATTTTGGTCATTTACAGTCTTGGATGGGGGTAAAAAGGGTGCAAACACATTGTCAATAGATGACGAATAAATGGGTGGACGCCTCGGATTGAGATATGATCTTTCAAGTGAGGGAAACATAGACGGAGTTCCAGTACGAGTTATGTCTGCCCATGATGAGATAAACATGTCAGCCGAGTACCCATCCACTATCCTATGGTCAAAAATGCACCCTATCACTATGCCTCCACATTTTAACTCAGTAACCTGTAATTATGATTTAGGCAATGCTGTTAGAATCTAGTTTGTATTAAAAAAATATTTTACAAGCCAATCTGAAAAAGGAAATACAACAGAGTTATTAATTTAAATGGTTAAATATATAAGGCTACATAATCATGTATTGTACAAGTTAATTGAATATCGAAATGTTTTCCACATTTTCTTATAAGATAATAATACACAAAAGGGAGAATTTCATCTAAAGCAACTACACTAGAAAAAAGTATTGAATCAAATTCCCAGTCGGAAAATCCATTACCTACCTTTGATTTAAAAAGTGTGATAAAAGGACGTGAGTAATTATTACCAACATCCTCAACAATATAGGCTATCTAGTATGGTAGAGGAAAGCACGTGTGACATTCGATGTGTCACCTCTACTCACGTGTGAACACCGCCCCAAATGAGTGTAGGTGTGTTGTGATGTGACGCTCTACGCGCGAAGACAACCAATGAGCAAGTAGCTTTGCAAACGACCAATAAGATTCTGTTAAATGTGACTCGGGCATTTGAAGCACTCTCATGGAGCATTTAGAGCATTCTCATTGAGCATTTGGAGCATTCTAATGGAGCATTTGGAGCACTTAGATCTCAATGGATCACTTGAGGTTCATGGAGCAAGTGACAAAGGAACGGATCATCTAAGATGGCTTTGGATTATCTGATAATGGAACAGATCAATTGACAAAGGAAAAAATCTTCCAAAAGGGGGTTTGGAGCAACTTGGAGTGGCTTGGAGCAAATTGGAGTGGCTTGGAGCAACTGGGAGCAACTTGGAGCAACATCGAGCAACATGGAACAACATGGAACATCATGTTGTGCCATGTAGAAGGAAGTTGCGCCATCCTTGGGGACGTTGTGCCAAATGATAGCATGATGCACCATCATGTCTGAAGTTGCGCCAAGGTAATGTTGAGCCAAGGAGATGTTGAGCCATGAGGTGATGTTGCTCCATCAAGAAGGGAAGTTGCGTTATGAGGAGATGTTGCGCCATCATGGACCATCTTGGTACATGATGCACTATCTTGATTCCTTTGTTGTTCCATATTGATCCATGTATGCTTAGAAGATGATTGCTCAATAAATACACCATGTTGTGCCACCGTGATGTATGTTTGGCCATTAGTGATCATGATGCTCCACCTCTGCATCATGTTGCTCCATTATGGTCAAGGTGGTCCATCATGTGTGTTGTTGATGCTCATGGGTTGTATGACATGAAAAAATGTATTAGAAGATGTTGCATGGCAGATTGTGATTGGTTGACACCATTCATGGGTGTAACACCTGTTATGTCAAGGTAAATTCTTAGCCATTTATTTTCTTGTATTTCGACTTAAGACCCTAGTATGTTGGGCATACATAAGGTACGTCGGGTGTGTTGCACTTTGAAGAAGAAGCCTTGTAGAAATTAACCCTTGTGCGTGTTTTGGTGTGTGTGTTGCACTTTGAAGGATAAGCCTTGTAGAGGAGTATTAATCAAGTGGAAGCATGTAGATCCAGAGGTTATTCACTCTTTTCCAGCTTATTTTATTGGAGGTATAAAGCTTCTATCTTGATGACTCTATGTGTTAGATCTGGTCTAGGGCTTGTTTTGAAACATATTATGGTCCCTTGAGTCATCCTTGTGAGTATGAGCTACTCAAGGAGCTTAGAATGTTAGATTCTAGCATTTCTGATGTTGTTAGTGCATAAAAATGTCATCTTGGTGGGTTATGATGAACCATGCAAAGGTTGGTGTTCATTCAATGTGGGATAAAGTGTTTAGGTTGGGTTTTGGAACTTATTAAGCCATGAAAAAGCATATAGATTGCAGCTTTATGGCTTAATACGTTTTATTGGACTTAGATCTGAAGTTGGATGTTGGGTCTTAAAGCATTAAGACCTTAATAGAAAGATTAGGTCATTGATGTGTACGTCGGGTGTAAGTCTAAGTACGTTGCATGTACTGCGTCTTGGCCCCGTAAGCTTCTCCTTTTGAATCTGTAGTATGCGGGGCGTAGGAAAAAGTACATTAGCCGTACTCTCTCAGAACACCCATTTTGGGCTTTTTGTTTTTGGGCTACCTTTGGCTTTAGGGTTTTGGGCCCTTAGTGGCCATGAGTCCTTCTGATTTGGGCCTTTATGGATTGGGCCCATATAAGCCCTTGAGTATCTTTTGGACTTTGGGCTGGTTTGGGTTTGGACCTCTATATGTTAGGCCCAATAAGAGAAGGGTAAAACAGTCTTTTACCCTTAGGAGTCGGGATTAAGGATTTGGACTCCTAGTTTGTGTTAATGACCTAATTTCTAATTAGGGTTATATTATTTGTGATTTGGTGTGGGGATTTTCGATTCAGCAACCCGAGTGTGATTTTTTTTTATCTTCAGACTGAGGTGAGTTCCTTCACTGTACTCGTGGGTCGAAGGCACCAATGCCGGCCCATTGGATTATGTTTTTAGGATGATCTTTGACTTTGTGACACTTACTGTTATGTCTGTGTGTGCTTGTTGTCTTTATGACTCTTGCTGATATGAATGTATGCTAGTTGTATAGGGTGAAATAGACTCGATACAAGTTGAAAGAGATCGAAGGGGGTGAAATATACCTAGTACCGATTGAAAGAGACCGAAGGGGGTGAAATAGATCATTTACCAGTTGAAAGATACCGAAGGAGGTGAAATATACCCAATATCGGTTGAAGGAGACTGAAGGGGGTGAAATAGACCCAGTTATGTATTGTCTGTTATGTATGTATGGTATGGGGTATTTTGAGGAAGCTCACTAAGATTTGTGCTTATGGTTTTCAGTTTATGTTTCAGGTACTTCCAACTCGAAAGGGAAGGGCCCAGCCTGATCGCACCGCATCCGCCCATGTTTTTCCTCATTTTGTGATTTTAGGATTTTGTACTCTAATGACTTTTCACTATGTCATACTTTTTCCACAAATTTTTTGTACAACAACAGCTACCATTCCAGTATTGGTAGACCTCCCTCTGAATTGATTTACGGAAGGAAGTGTCGAACGCCCATATGTTGGGGGAAAATCGGCCATCGAGTTATGGGGAGCACTGATGTTGTGATCAAACCCACCAAACTCATCCAACAAGTACGCGAAAGGTTGAAGACTGCCCAGAGTTGGCAGAAGAGTTATGCAGATCGACGAAGATTGAATCTTGAGTTCCTAGTAGGAGACCTAGTATTACTTAAGGTTTCACCTTAGAAAGGTGTTATTAGGTTCCGGAAGAGGGGCAAGCTAGGCCCTAGGTATATTGGACCCTTTCGAGTCATTGCTCGAGTGGGCAAGGTTATCTATCGTTTGGATCTACCAGAAGAGTTAATTCAGATCCATAACACCTTCTACATCTCCTAATTAAGAAAGTGCATTACGGGTGAATCCGTAATTGTATCATCGGAAGACATTTGCGTAGACGAGCGTCTGAACTATGTGGAGAAGCCGGTGACGATCTTGGATAAGAAAACAAAGACCTTGCGTAATATGGTAATCAACTTAGTAAAGGTTCAGTGGCAACACCGAAAAGGATTAGAATGGTCATGGGAGCCAGAAGAAGAGATAACGAGCAACTACCCAAAGTTATTTAGTTAGATTTTGGGGACAAAATCCTTATAAGTGGGGGAGTGTTGTAACACCCGATTTTATCGTTTTTATAAATATTCACGACTAACAGAAATTCAAATTTTAGATATATAACTCGTTATCCTTAGTAATATAAACAAAAGTCGTAGTTCTCGTTAAAGCGAATTTGTGCGTATACAGAACGTCCAAATCTGACTTCAAGAGAGGAAGTTATGATTTTCTAAGTTTCAGCGCAGTAGTGTGCACACATATATCAACTTTTAGAAAGGTAGATTATTAGGCACAATAATCTAAACGATAATCGAACATCTCGTTCAAAGGAGTCTGTCGATGTAAAGAACATCGAGAACGGAGTCCGTATATAGGAGTTTTGCTTTCTGCAGTGATCTCTAACAGGCTAAGCCTATCAAAAATATAATTTTTTTATAGATTGAGAATTAGCTATTGAAGTCTACAGGAAATTTGTAGATCTTGTCAAGAGCTTTCCGTCAATATAAAGAACGTCGAAAACGGAGCTTGTATGAAGAAGTTATGCAATTTTAAAAATCTAGAAAATTGGGTGCGAGCAATGCGCGACGCGCGGTAATGACATGGCGGCACCAGAGGGCGCCATGTGGCAAGCCGACTCTTCCTTTCCACCAAGAGGCACGATTATGTGACACAATACGGGCGTGACACGTGGCACCACGAGAGTGTGACACGGTTCACCTTCTAGAACGATGAGGTGGGCAAACCGGTGAGCGACATGTGGCTAGCAAGCGCAAGAGCCAGCACAACCCTGGTGTGTGGCGCGCCTCCAGGATGTGCGCGGCACGCTTCCTGCTGCAGTATATGTATCCCTCATTTTCACTTCATTTACTCACCCATTCATCCAATTTCCCTCTAGCCTTCATTGAGTTTGACTTTTGGGCTTTTCTTGAGAGTGTTTAGTAAAGTTTTGAGGGTTCGAGGTGTTCGGAAAGTAGAACTTTCGGTCTCGCAGTACGGTCCGCTTAATCTCCCGGTTTTCACTTTAATCTCGATAAGTTAAGCTACACTCTCCCATTTTCAGTGTAACTTATATTTGTAGTAATGCGTCGTTGTTATGGACCTATAAATAAGATCAATCAGTAATTGCAATTCAAAATGTTGATTAATCTACTTACGGGAGAGGTGTCTAGAATGGTCACGTTTGGTTGGTTATTGGATTTCAGAAAAGCTATATGCCAAAATGATCCTGGCTCTCAACGGTCCTGCCTGGCTGACCCCATCTGATAGAGCTATCAGTATTCCTTAGGATTAGTTATAGATCTAGCCTTATTTACTAGACTCTCTTAGAATCTTATAAGT